ATAGTGGGAAACACTGCAGTTCCTACTACTCAGAGCGCTGCAGGGGCAGTAGGACAGTTTGAGCCCAGAGTTTGAGTTAGCCGAGGATACTTTGAGACTAGCAAAATCCTGTCTCAACAGGAAAAGAAAAGAGAAAGCAGTTCTTTTCTGGGGTGTGGTCAGTGGTAGAGCAAGTGCTTAGCACTCCCGAGACCCTGGGTCAAAATGTACCAAAGGATTATGACAGGAGAATTTCAGGAATTCCAGAAGTTTGAAAGCTTCTGGCTACACTGAAAGGAAAATTGGGTCAGCTTTGAAAAGGCACCACCATTCCCAGGTGTGGTGGTGTGTGCCTGAAATCCCAGGACTGGGAGGCTGAGGCAAGAAGATCATGAGTTTAAGCAAGATCTCATCTCAGAAAACAAACAAACAACTAAATAAATGAATAAATAAATGGGTCAAGTGGGCCAGCACATGACTATAATCCCAGCTGGAGGATCATGTCAGAGTCTCACAAACAACGACCCTCGCTAGGCAACCTGGCCATTGAGACTGCCTCACAAAAAAGTGAATGTTTTTGTTTTCTGGAGATAGAGTCTTGCTGTGTACTTCAGGATGGCTTTGGACTCCTGCATAACCCCGGCTGGCTCGACTTCAGGCAATCCTATTGCCTTGTCCTCCCCAGTGCTGGGAATACAGACACGCTATGCAGTGTCTCGGTTGAAAAACAGCTCAGCATGTAATGCAGTTTCAAAGTCTTGGGATCAATCTCAGTACTACAAAATAAAAGCCTAAAAATATTTGACAGGGGCCGGTCAGATAGCTCAGCTGACAAAAGCACCTGTTTAGGCAGGTGCAGAGATCAGGGTTCAATCCCCGACCTGCCACTCTGCCTTCAGCCCTGCCTCTGGGGTGAACTGTGACTGTGACTGAGACTGGGCGTGGTGGTGTACACATGTAATCCCAGCGCTTGGGAGGCTGAAAATAGGATCAACTAGGAGTCTGATCTATGTACTGAGACCCTGTAGACCCTGTACTAAATGCATTTTTAAAAAAAATGGATGAGAAACCATAAAAAGAATCATCAAGAAAACTATTTGAAAGGATTCTTTCAATTATGAATAGGATGCTTTAAGGGTACATGGAAATATGTGCTAACAAATGCACTGCAGATACACACAGTTTGTAAGTACACAGGCTACCACAAGGAAACGGCGAGGCTTCTGGCAAGTTTGGAAACCCTTGCTGTAATCTAGAGAACACATTCTGCCAGGTGAACCCGATCCCTGGCACAGAGCCAGCGGGTGCAGTGCTGTCACGCTTTACTGAGCAGGCTGTGCCGTGAGCAGTGCTGGGGACACTGCGCTCCATGCCTCCA